GATATGATATCATATGAATGGCAGGGTACTGACCGGCTAGGAACGCGGAAAAATCACTCCTCGAGATCGCCTCCCTCCAGCAGACGCTCGTGTCGCATCTTGCCACGCAGGACGAGTACATCGGGCAGCTGGTCGGCGATGCGGCCTTCACCGAGACGAATATCGGGCGCGGCAACACGGAGCTGAAGCGCGCGACGGAGCGGCGGAGTACGGCGCAGGCGGTGTTTTGGGGGACGGTGGGGTTGTGTACGTGGTTGGTTGTTTGGGATCTTGTTTTCTAGCAGATATAAGGGCTACGAGGGATGGTATGGTGGATGCATGGGTCGCATGGCATGTATACTTTAGTCTAATGTACAGAAAGATAGCTCATTGCGTCTCGCGGACGACGCTGTCGACGGCCTCGGCGAAATAATCCAGATTATTCGTGTTGAGACCGGCCATGGAGATGCGGCCGTTCTTGGTCTACACACATTAGCCTGTGCCCTTTGGAGAGTGAAGAAGAGGGACCTACCATATAGACGTGCCATTTGTCCCGCAACAGCTTGACCTGCTGCTCCGACAGCCCGGTAAAACTGAACATGCCGATCTGATCGGTGATATGCGCCCAGGACCCGGGCGTCCCCTTGGCCTCGAGACGCTGGCGCAGGCCGGTGCGCATGTCGGCGATGCGGCCGCTCATGGTGCGCAGGTCGTCCTCCCACTCGGCGAAGAGGGCGGGGTCGTTGAGGACGCGGCTGGCGATGCGGGCGCCGTAGGCCGGGGGGTTGGAGATCTCGGGAGCGCTGCAGGATGGCGAGCTGGGAGGCGACGTGGGCGTTGGCGGTGGCGGCGTCGGGGCCGGGGGCGGACACAAAGTGGAAGGCGCCGGTGCGCTGGCCGTAGAGACCGAAGTTCTTGGCGAACGACTGCGCGACGCACAGCTCGAAGCCCTGGTCGACGAAGTAGCGCACGGCCCAGGCGTCGCGGGCGAGGTCGCCGGACGCAAAACCCTGGTAGGCGCAGTCGAAGAAGGGGAACAGCTGGCGGTCGCGCATGATGACGGCGACCTGCTTCCACTGGTCCTGGGTGAGGTCGACGCCGGTGGGGTTGTGGGCGCAGGCGTGCAGCAGGATGATGGAGCCGGCCGGGGCGGCGCGCAGGGCGGCCAGCATGCCGTCGAAGTCGAGGCCCTTGGTCTGGGCGGAGAAGTAGGGGTAGTTGGCGAGCTCGAGGCTCGACGTTGGTGAAGATCTGGTGGTGGTTGGCCCAGGTCGGGCTGGAGAGGTAGATCTTGGGCTTGGGCTGGTTGCGGGTGGAATTTGGCCAGGAGAGGGCGCCTAGATGGACGGCTCTGTGCCGGAGATGGTTGGAAGGTTGCGACCTGTACAGTTCAACATTAGTAGATGCACCTTATCGCCTGACTGGAGGGGAGGCATACTCGGTTCTCGCGGATGGCTGGACTGTCGGCCCCGATCATGAGCTTCTGGGCGGCGGTGGTGTAATCGGCCAGACCCTTGATGGGGAGATATTCATGGTTGAGATTGGGGTCATTGCGAATGAGGTCGTCGGCCTGGGTTGTCAGTTGTGTCTGACCGATGCTTGGACGGGAGAATGTACCTTTTTCACTACGGGTAATACCCAGGGTTTCGCATTGTTGTCGCGATATGCGCCGATGACCAGATCGACTTTCTTTGCAGAGGGGTCCTGGCGAAAGGCCTGGGCCAGCCCGAAGAGGGGATCTTCGGGGGCGGCGGGGACGACGGCCGTGGAGAAGACGGAGGGCGGGTTGGAGCCCATGATGTGAGAGGAGAGGGAGGCGAGACGGTTGCGAGCGATGGAGGAGGAGGACGATGAAGAGGATGAAGAGGGGGAGGAAGTTGAGGCTGTCATGATGGCGGGGAAATTATAAACGGACGCGGAGAAATCAGGTGAGGTCACAACACCGGGGGCTGCTGCTTGCGTTCACCGGGGAAAGGGATCGATCAGAGGTGGGATTCCCCGTACTGTGGACTGCGGGACAAATTTACCCGATGGGGATACGGATGATCTGACAGAGAGGAGGCCGTCATGGATCAGTCGAGAGGTAATAGTCGAAGTAATTAAGTCGTCGTAGTGTAGGGTGGGATTTATAGGGATTCTGAGCCGAGGATGTTGGTTGGTACGTCACATGTAGTCGGTTCGGTATTTCTATCACTCGTGCTTGATGTATACAAGTATTGTCTGTTGTTTATAGATAGATAGAGAGATAGATGGATAGATACTCTTACACTGAGTCCAGCAGTAGCATCTATTCCGTAAGTATCTACAAAATACAAATACAATGTAACTCTTACTAATGGCGTGTCCTGATTGCTCCATACACATACGGAGTACACCCTCTACCCCAAACGCCCCCGATACTCTGACTAACTCACCACCATTAGACTTCTCCTCTGCCTGATAATCTCTCATACAAACCGCATGATTACCCCCTCGGAACAACAATCCCAATACCCGGACTTGCTCCGAATGCGTGATTTTCCTCGTTCTATGACTAACGCCGCAGATTTAGCCGCCGGACGCTCCTCGTCGCCCTCTTGGCCTCGGAATCCGGTGGAGTTGGCATCGACTGTCTCCAAGAAAATCCATCGGACTGGTATTCATATCCCTCATCAGGTTACTCTGTACGGCATACTCTATAGAGTAGTCTATACGGAGCAAGGAGGTATCGTCAATGAATGTACTGATCTAAGAATAGATCCCCCACGGGGTCCGGTTTAGGTAAGCTCTCGCCGGATTCCGGAACCCTAGTATGTACGTATATACCCGATCGCATATATCCATCCGTCCGTCTTACTTTTCGCCGCCAAATCACCCAAACGCCTGTATCGCCCATTCCGAATTGAAATCATCAATCATGCCCGCCATGTAAGGAACGTAGATGCATCCATCAAATCATGCCAAAACAAATAACAAGAAAAAACGTATATACCAAAATAGTAATACCACTGTGGGTAAGACGCCTGGAGACGCCTCACGCCTCCTCCCGATGGGGCTGCGTGCGGATACGGAACCGATCACGCAACCGCTGCGTCAGACGACTCCGTCGACGGTCCGCATCTTCCGTCGCCGCCGGCGGATTCGTCGTCGCCTCTTCGCGCACGCTGCGCAGCGCCGCGATCCGCTCCTCCACGCTGGCGTCGCGCATCCGGCGGGCGTTCAACGGCCCATGGAGGTAGTTGCTGAGTCGGCGCCGGTGACCACTCGTGGGATCCGGCGTGCCTTCGCGCGGAGTCTCGGTCGGAGCGTGGGCCGCGTCGGTTTCGTCCTGCTCCGTCTCACCCTCGGCTTGCGGGGGATTCAGATCGATCCGGCTGTTGTTTCGTTAGATTTGTGGATGATAGATCATGAAAGGATGCGGCGCAGGGGACTTACCAGAGGGGACAGGTTCCAGAGACATTCACCAACCACGGGTCAATACACTCGGGGTGGAATTTGTGGTGGCATGGCAGCACGCGCAGATCCTGACCTTTGACAAAATCGTCCGTACAGATGGGACAGGAGAAGTTCGGGTTCTCCGGGTTAGTCTCGGCCGCCGTCCCGGTGCGCTTGTCGGCGGAAGCATCCGTCGCAGTGGTGTTGGTGTTGGTGTTGGGAGCTGCCTCGTCTGACGGGGTCGGTTGTTGATCCGCGGGAGCCGTCGACCGTGCGGGGGCGTTGCCCGCAGCAGTCATCTCATGCTCTTGGTCGTCGGCGTGCTCCTCCGTGTCTGTGCCCAACTCCACGTCCCCTTTGACGTGGTCGGCCTTGGGGTCGTAGTCGTCGCCGAACTTGACGATCGGAATGGTCTCCAGCATGGCGCGGGCGATCCCTCGGGCTCGACTTTGCCGGGGGCGTCCGGCAGTGTAGCGAGGCCCGTAGCGTTCGGGGTGCCGGTGGGCGCGGACGGCGCCCATGATGATGATGGCCAGGAAGAGAGCCGTGATGATGCCGGTGATGCTGTAGAGGATGATCATGGCGGTGTTGGGGTTGTTGCCGGAGTTCCCGCTGTCGCCATTGTCCATCGGGACACTCTGTATGGGGAACGACATGTCGGCGACGATGCTGCTGGAGCCGGAACCGGAGGTGGCCGAGTCGAGAACGGTTTGAATGGATTGCGAGGCGTTGGGGGTCAGGACCGTAAAGACGTTGGGCGTAGTCGTGGGCACTGCCTTCATTCGCGGTGTAATTGCAATGGTTGGCCTGAGTGGAGTACAAGAGTACGGCTGCCGGCTGTTGCTGCGAGGTGATGACGTTGGCGACGGTCTCACTCGCATCGAGATTGCCGGGATAGGCGGATGGATCGCAACTGATGAAGGCGATGTCTCCGGACTGGACAGCGAGAGAATTGGCGGCGTCGACGTGGAGGAGTTGCCCTGTGGCGTGGAAAGTCTGGGGGGTGTGCGTTAGCGGATCTGGGGGTGCCGTCGGGTTGGGAGCGATGACTAACCTTCGGCTGGGACAGGGCGGCTTGGGCAACGGGCTGGGTCAACGGGGCGAGGGTGAGATTGGTGGGGAGGTGGAGGGAAGCACTCTTGAGGTAGAGGCGAGTGCCGTTGGCCCAGGAGAGATCCGTGGAGCGGTTGGAGGGAAGCACCGACCAGGCGGACGAGGCGAGGGCAGAGACGGGGGAGGAGAGAAGTAGGAGGATGAGAGCGGAGGAGAAGAAGGAAAAGAGGGGAGGGGAAGGAAGAGAAGGGAGAGAAGGGAGAGAGAAGGACGGTTTTTGCCCGAGCCCCATCGAGGACGAGAAGCCAAGCTGGAGAAGGGATCCACGATGACGAGGCCGATGGAGAGAGAGAGTGGAGGAGATTGGGGGACCCAGTCGATCTTCGGAGGGGGGGAGACCCTGGAAACGGAGAGGAAGACCGGATGAAATAAATATGCAGGCAGGACAACTCAGCGCCGGAGATGACGGAGCTGAATGCAGGATGACTGGCGGCTAGCGGGAGTTACGGGAGAGATGAAACCGATGGATGATGGAGAATGGATGGGTGGATGAGATGAGATGAGATGAGATGGGAGGGGAGAGAGGAGAGAGAAGAGGGGCTGGAGTAGTACGGAGGAATCAATCAATTCCGATCATGCTAGAGAGGAGGGGAAATGGGCCGAACGGAAGTAGAGTAGAGTAGAGGAGAGGAGAGGAGAGGAGAGGAGAGGAGAGAGGATGGAAGAATGAGTAGAGAATGAAGATGATGCAGAATACAAGAATGGAGAAACGAACACGGACGGATAAGATAAGAGGCTATTATTCAATTGATTCAATCAACTACGGAGTATCTTGATGCGGAGGAATTATCGACATAACTATGCTCAGATCATAATAATTATCCCTCGTAACTATTCCGGCATCATTCTATCTATCTACCTCCGAGTATACATAGTTCCTCTGAAGTATCCGCTGCATCCGACAATCCCACTCGGAACTACCTACTGTGTGGTGTTCCTGAACGCCGTCTCTTCATGAACCCCTTGCCTGACCACGTGTGTCTTTTACCTCTATGTACTACTAACTAACTACTTATCACCACTCCGGATGTCTGCGGGGTCCAGAGACTTTCCTAGTCTCCGTCGATCCGTTAGTCCCAGTCAATTTGGGCGCAGCCACGACATCCAGCATCGCCGCATTGCGTCACCCTCATCCTGCCGGGGAAAAAAAGAAAACAGGATTCTCCTGTGGCGGAGTCGGTCATCTCTGCTGACTTCCTTCTACCTATCGTTATTGTCTTTTTCCATGCATTTCTTTCATGAGGAGGATCTCTTTGTGGTGACCAGACCCTCCGGATGAACCATGAACCATAACACGATCCTCGACATTCTGGAACGCCGCAGTCGGACCCGATTGACTTCCGCTTGCGTCCGATCGGCCATCCGTAGTCTAGTTCTCTGGAATCTCTGGAATGCGAGCTGGTTCCGCTGCCTTGGGACAATGCATTCTTCGGACGGGTACGAGGTTCGTTCGTGGGGGAGGCCTTCACGTGAACTAGATGACCTCAGACTGATCCAAGAACTGTCGATAACAACAACATGATCCACGATCGACATGATCATCTGCTATCATCTGCACCCGGGAGATCACACACCGCCCGTGGAATCCCCATTCGATGAATTTTCCCTTTCGTCATGGCCAACCCAACCGTACCACCCCTACTCACTCACCCTCGCTCCATCCATGCCAACCCCAGACTCCCAAAGCTTGGCTGGTGACACCAGCCCGTCCCGCAATGCGACTTGCGCGGATAAGGAAGCGGTCGGAGAAAACGAGGCGTCGCCAATTCCGATGTTTGACAAATCCGCCTCCTGCGACCGGGTTGGGTGCCAATAAAGCCGCCTCGCTCCGATCCTCGTAAAGAGCGCCGAGCGCCCGCCCCCTATGCGGACACACCAGCTTCACCCCGCCATATTGAACCTTATCCTGGGGGCTGGGAACCACCGTCCACGGATATCGACCATCGGGCCAAAAAAAAGAAAGCAAAGAATAAAAGATCTAGCCGGTCCAGGTCGCACGAGATTATCCACCAACACTTTGCATCACTGACAGTATCTGACAGTAAGTTGCCTGGTATGAGACGAGCTCAGGGGACCGTCCCAATCAGGGGAGGTACAGCTGGAAGGGGCCGTCTGTCGTGCTGCATCGATCATCCATCCTGTACGACGGGGGCAACGCCTGCGGCTTGTCGGTTGGAGGTTGAGAGGATGCCTATCCAGTCTAGACTGTGGATGTCGGACCGACGGTTCCATGGAAGGTCCAGTCGAAGAATCCGGTTTCGTTTGCTACAGTCGGGATCATGCGATCGGGATCTGAATGATGAAGAGGCACTCAGGCGGTGGTCGATGACCGTCCTGTCAGGGACAGATACGCAATAAGACAAATCAGATGCAGCTGCACGAGGCGATGGGGG